TAGGGAGGCGCGTTGAGGAACCTGGCCTTGGGGCAGCAGAGAGAGTAAATCCGGCCCTGTCCACAGGCAAAGTCCTAAAACTAGATAATGAGAGCCCCATTTAACAAAGAAGTCAGAAACATAATGGTTGTTTATTTACTGTATTTATTAGGAACAATTATTCACAGTTACTGTACTTGACCTATTTGTGTGCAGCACACGTATGTAACTAAACATTTGTAACTGTAGATCAACCCTGCATATCACCTTGAAGGAATTTTAGTCCATTTCTCCTTACAGAACAGTTTTAACTCAGTTATGTTTGGTGAGCTTCACCACATGAACTTTCGGCTTCAGGTCCTTCCACAGTATTTTTATAGGACTAAAGTCAGGACTTTGACTTAGCTATTCTAAAACATTACCTTTTTTCTGCTTTAAGCATTTTTTTCTAGATCAACTTATATGTGTAGGGTCCTTGTTTTTGCTGCATGTCCTATTTTCTTTTAAACTGGAGTTCCTATACATTTTCTTACAGAATTTGCAGATACAATTCAGACTTCATGGTCCCATCAATTATAGCAATCTGTCTTGTCCAGAGGCAGCAAAGCAGATTCAAACCATGATACTGCCATCATCATATTTTACACATAGGATACATTCTTATGCTTGAATGCATTGTTTGCCTTTCGCAATACACTTTTCATGCAGGTCAACACTTTCCAATAGCCTCCTGACTTATCCAAGTGGTCTTTAGCAAGCTGTAGATGGGCAGAAATTGTATTTGTATAGTAGTGGCTTTCTCCATGCAACCCTGCCATGTATACCATTGTTGTTCAGTGTTCTCCTGATGGTGGACATTGACATTTGCCAATGCAAGAGGGGCTTTAAGCACCTTAGATGTTGGTCTGTGGTTCTTTAAAGGAGAACTATGAGGTGAGTGCTTTTCACTCACCTCATAGTTCTAGCCGACCTGTGACAATGAGACTGTCACAGGTCGGCTCAGTAGATCGGGAAGTGAGCGAACACATACCGGCGTTCGCTCACTTCTCGAACCTGTCACGGCTCTCTGCCATGACAGGGGAAGGGCTGGATTCCCCCCTCCCCACTCCGATCCTCCAGCGCTGACTGGCGGAACCGACGGGGGAAGGGGCAGGTACAGCTGGCTCTGCCTCTAGATAGGCAGAGCCAGCTGTCACTCACGCAGCTGGGCAGATCCCGGCACAATTGTCGGGATCCACTTCAGCTGCGGCTACAGCTCGCAGTATACTGAGCTTAGGGTGACAGGAGGACGCTAGTTTGTGTCCTCCCGTTACCCTAAGGAGAACTATGGGGAAAAGCCCTAACCCCATAGTTCTCTTCTAAGATTTCCCAGTGTATTACACATCTTGCTGTTGGCATGACCTGTTGGCTTTCAACCATTTCAATGTGATCTGCCCATCAGTTGACTGGTGGAGTCAAAACTGTTAAGAAATAGTTTGTTAACCTTTCCCAGCCTATTGAGCATCAATAACTGTTTTTTTGGAGGTCCTGAGAAATCTCATTTGTTCCAGCCTTGTTCTCTGAATAAGGCAGGGCCTTCCATACACACACTTGATTTCTGTCCCGTTGATTAGAACTCTATGAAACATACAGAAAATCCTAAAGGTTCACATACTTTTGCCACACACAAATACACAACGTTGCATCCATTTTTCTAAAATAAATGTGCAAGTATATTGTTTTTTTACTCCGTTATTTAACTGGGTTCCCATTATCTAGTTGCAAATCAGATCACATTTTAGGTATTTTTACCTACATTTTAGATATTTATGCAGAAATATTTAAAATTCAAAAGGGTACTGTAAAGTATCACTGTATAGGAGCTATTTATGCAAAAGAATGTGTATCTCGGTCCATTCAGTCCTTTGATTTGCACAGCCCTGTCAGATAGCACAGCCAGACTGGTGACCTGACTTTCCTTTACTGCAGTTACGGCAATACAGCTTGATCACCTTGCTGCCCCTGGCCTATGATTGGACAGTAAAGGAGTAGCAGCTGACCATTAAGGACTACCTTCTGCTCTCTCCCACTGTCAGAATGTGCCTTGTTAGCCCATGATCACTGCAGCATACCTGATTGGCTCCTAATGCTGACCCTTCCTCTTCCAATGTGAGTTCTAGACTCTGATGCCAAGTTAAAGTAAGATATTTGCATACATTTAGAATTAGAATTAATTATGTTTTAATGGCTGCATAACATTCATTGTTTGGGGGGCGGGGGTTATTTTTGCCTGGACTTCAGTTTTGAAACACCTTTCATCTCCAGTTGGGAATGTTAAATACAGATATAATGGAAGTGCTAACTGTTGTTTTAAAAGAAACCTTTATTAAAATGATGATGGCTGCTATTGCTGAACGCTCTGTTAAAGTTTCCTAGCTGACTCTAACTTAAAGGAGAACTATGAGGCGAGTGAAAATCACTCAGCTTCATAGTTCCAGCCGACCTGCGACAATGAAACTGTCACAGGTCAGCTCAATAGATCGGGAAGTGAGCAAACACATAGCGTTGCTCTCTCACTTCTCGATCTATCCCTGCAGAGAGTCGTCACTCACGGCTCCCTGCAGGGATTCCCCCCTTACCCTGTCCGATCCTCCAGCTGGGTGGATCTCGACAGTAATGTCCGGATGCATCCCGGCTGCGGCGTCTCAGTATACCGCGAGCTGTAGCTCGCGGTATACTGAGCTTAGGGTAACGGGAGGACGCTAGTTTGTGTCCTCCCGTTACCCTTAGGAGAACTATGGGGAAAAGCACTGAACCCATAGTTCTCCTTTAAGCACTTTCTGACTTTTTGACCCAAAACCAATGTGCAAAGTAGGCAAACCTGAACCAGGTCAAAGACACAAA